CCCCCCCGCCCCAACTCCTTCCTTCCCTCCTCCCCTTCCACCACACCAGACTTACCAGCTGGATGCAGCTCTCCAAGCTATGCTCCTTGCAACCTGTGCTGTGCTGCGGCTGAGTGCATGCATGGGTCATTTATCAGCCTGATATGGCTGATTTCTGATATAGTAAATTTTGTTTATATTGGTGCTGATCCGATATTGGACTGATTTTTGCACCTCTAGTTAAAATCCCTTGTGCCTATATTCTTTCAAGGTTGGTTGTTTGCAAGGTTTTATGACTAGGGCTACAGTTTAGTCAACACTATCCAAGAAGTCTTATGGCCATCAGAAGAGTGAGTTATACAGGGAAATTTTACCTGACAATTATATTAATTTACATTTGCTTTTCAATCCACTAGTGTTCCTTGATTTAAATCTTTAAAATTTACTCGTTTCATCCAGGTCTACAAGAAGTCTATTTCTAAATTAGCAGCTGCTTAAAATTAAGACAAAGTTAATTGAAAAAAAATGTAAAATAAGCCTTGTTCAATAACTCAGTAATAATTTAGGATATCTTTAACAGGGTTTTTACCTGACCATTCTTTCTGACCATGATATTATCACTATGCCTGTCACCAATTCCAAGCACATAAGTAGCTACACAGTAGCCAGCACAAGACAGGGTGAACTCTTCAATAGCTCGATCCAAGTCATCTCTAAAAATACAAAACACAAGAAACAGTTACCAAAAAACTCATCTTGTGTGTTAACATTAAGAAAACACATGAATTTGCTGAAACTGGGTCACATATGGACATTTTAAAACAGGGTTTGTGCTTTTTCTCCTTATGCCTCAAAGACAATTTTACCTCATGAGGAAGTTTATATCTTCAGTTGTAAGCAAGAAAATGCAATAAAATTTACCCTAAATTGTATTCCTTTAGCCAGTTTAAGAGAGCATCTTTGTTGAAGGCAGCAGCAGCAGCAACATTGCTACTATTTAGCTGAATATCTGCAATAGTTTCTGAATTTGAAACAGCCTCAATAAGGCCAGAGTGGTCTCCTGTGGCTAAACAGCCATACGGCAACATCCTGAAACAAACAAAAGAAAAAAGGTAAAAAAAATAAATAAAGAGATTAGGAACAATATATTAAATGTGTAAATATTTCCTGAATGGGTATCTATGCTAATTTTATGAGGAACTCTTCAAAGCTAATACATGGACATACTTTCAGAAATAAAAGATCAGCACTTCATAAGAAGTACAAATAAATAATGGGAAACATGAAACAAATCAGGTTTTTATTTAAGTGTAATTCTGTAATAGGGATGATAGAGGGGCAGTCAGGAAGGCCAAGGCAGAGATGGAACTGGGACTAGCTTCCTGGATCA